GACAGCCACAGGAACCCCCAACTTCACAAATTCTCTCATCTGACACTGCAGAAAAGAAGCAAATGCAACTGTTCCCCAAACCAGCACACAGTACAAACTGCTGCCTGCCCTCAGGAACAAGCCCTGTATAATTTGACTCCAGTGTGTCCAATATAGATGCTGATAACAGAGCTGGCAGTATGCTGGAAAAAACAATTCTACAAGTCCTTCTACCTCCACTTTCAAAACACTCCCTGCATCCCTACACTAGAACTTGTGACTGTTCACAGCAGAAATATTTAAGACAGACAAAAACTGAAAGCTCTTGCAGTATGCCTACGTGCGTGTACATCTTCACCAGTGGGTGGGGAGGGGTGACTTGTAACAGTCCCTCTTTTGTGTGCGATGTCTAACCTTTCTGATTTGTCAGGAAATTGAATTCATGCCTCAGCTCAACTGCAGTCACTGGTACGTGTACAGAAACATGGGTTGGATTTTCCTAGCACTAATAAGCTCTGGTGAAACCTGTCATGTTGAGCGCTGTGGTGCAGGAACAACTGAATAGCTTTGCATAGTACTAAGCCACATTGACAGAGCTGGTACTGACACAGGCTAATGAGGCATGCCGTACCCAGCCTGGCTCTCTGCAGAGCCATTTACGTGCTTCTGTACCACACTCCCTGCTTTGGGAGCACGGCACGAAGACATTTGATCCAACTCTGCCTGGAGCTGACTCAGGTACACAGGGCTCATTAGCTTCAGCTTCATGCCATGTGAGCCAGGCTAAATTGTTTTCAGGTCTGTGCTGGCCTTAAAGCCAACACAGTCAAGGTCACCTAGTGTCACACCCAAGGAGAAGGGGTGGTGGGGGCGGGGGAGGGCAGGAAGTCTAGCTGGATCATTGAGCACATACAAGAGCAGGGCCACTGTCCAGCCCCCACTCCCTACCTAAGCTGACCATGAATAATGCAACTCGGCTACATTTCACAAAGTCCTTAATCTTCTACAGAGACTCTTGAATTCATCTGACTAAAACAGAATTTCTAGGGAAGAGCAATACGGATCTGATATCCAGGAACACCCCCGCAGAGTCCAAGACCATTGCAACCTTCACCGCACTTCTCCTAACAGAATTTCTGAGATTACGGAGAAGAGTTAGTACGTTCGCTGTGCAGTGAGATGCATTAAGCAGACAGAACTAGTTTTGGATTTTTGCCCAGGTCCCCCCAAAAACAAGAGTTTGGTACTAAAATGTTTTTAAAATCCTGACCTTAAGTATCGTATACAAAGTCACGAAGAGAGCATATGGCAAGCCTGAACGCTGACCTATGTATCGCACATCAGAGAGAGGTGGTCAATCTGTTGGTCAAGCCAAACAACAAAATGCTAGTGCCATTAGTCATTTTACTGGCAACTAGCTCATTGCCTTTAGTTATGCTACAATTTGAGGGCAAGTATTACTTACACTTTTATTATCAATACGTACATATTGATATAAATTTATATGCCAATTTGAATGATACATGTTGATATATGAGTGCGAATGATACATGTTTTTAAGATGTTAACGACTTGAGCATCCTGACTATTCTAGGCGTGGGTCAAATTAAATACATGCATATATGTGGAAGGTCATCCCTGCTAGGCACATGCACAATTTTAAGCCTGTAATCATGTCCTTTGCCAAGAGGAAGGTTTAAAAAGATCACCGGAAGTTACTCAAGTATCCTATGTATAGCTTGAAAAGAAAGAAAAACTAAGATGAGTCAGTAATTGAATAGGATTCTGCACATTCAAAACAAGGAGTTAGAAGAAAATTCCTGCCTGGTTTTCTCAGAAACCTGAAAATAAATTATTTAGAGAAGGACATTGTTCTTCAATTCAGTTTATTCTATCTTTATTTTAAGTTATATGATAGATTCTGATTATAAATATAGCTTTTCCTAGATGCCTTTCATAAAAATCAAAACTGCAAATTGTGAATTTAAGCATGGCCTTTTTGGGTTCACATTAATTTTCCTGGCTCAGAAATATCACATCTCCTCAGATGAGTAATCTGAGTATACAAGACTGAGTAATCTCAGAGTGAACAATCTAATTCTCCAAAGGAGCCACTCTTTGCAGCTGTATTTAAAGCTCACAGAGTTCCTATTATAATAAAAAAATCAAACCCCCAAACAAACAAAAAAAACCCCAAACCAAAGGAAACGATAAAGTAGTTCTAATCCCATGTTTCCCCATCACTGAAAAGTCTAACTTTGCTTCCACTACTGAACTCTGATATAGTTTTTATCATCATTTCATCTTTGTCCCCACTAAACACATTTTAGTAGCAGGGATTTTTTCACCATGATTATTTTTGCTGCCAAAATTTTCTGGCACAGAAATCACAGAGACAGAGGGTAATGCTGTTTTAAGGCTTGCAACAGCTGCTGTGTTGAAAAGCTGTTTTTATTTTAATGAAGAACTACACTGTACACTTACACATGTTAAACTTAAGAAAATTGTGTTCTAGAGATTCAAATAGCTTGAAGTGCAGAAGTGAGATACTTGGAAAATCTGGCAGGTAGACAAGGAATTCTGCATGATACATTCTTTGTATGAACATTACAAAGGCTATTTAGAACCTGCTTCTGCCTGCATACTTGCTGCATGTATGCAGTGCAGTCTAAATTTCAGCAAGTAGGAAAAGAATGAGAGTGAACTTGGGCAAAACGTGGAACAACTAAACCCAAGACAGCTGTACCATATACGAAGAATAACCTTCCTCTTTATGTATAGAGCTGTGCGTAATTTGTGTGAAATTCATAAAAGTACTTACAGCCTGAAGGAACCGGAAAGACAGGAGGACACTGTCAGTTCCCCCCCATGAGTGTCTGTCTTCATAATCTCCCTCCTCCAGCAAGTACTGACGGCCTTTGTAGCGTTCCTTATCATAGGCAACCCATCTACACCAACAAAACACAACAAAAGAAAGAGAAATAACTAAAAGCAAAACAACTGCACACATGATTTTCCATAACAAATAAAAGGGGAAGAGAACATCCTAAGAACACTAAAATGAGTATCACAGACTCAGCTAACGAACAAAGCAATGCTTGTTTGACATCACAACAGTCACCCCTGAAGTGTTCTTTGTGAATCAAATTCCCACCATGTGATTCTTTCTCCAACAACAGTTTATTGGTGTAACGCTTCTCCATGTACCTCCTCTCAGTCAGCCCTATTCCCAATACCAATATTCGGTACTACAGGGGCTAGTACGCATCTAGTGGCCAAAACACTGTAAGCCACCAACTGTCAATGATAAAAACAAGCAGTAGATCTCTTCAGTGTATTAATAAATGATGAGATTCTACCCTTGCTGGAGCTGGTGACAAAATTAATGGAT